GTTCTCTGGAAAGGCGGGGTATAAATAAAACTTTTATTATTTTATTTTATTTATAAACGAAAACAGTATAAACTTTAGGATAAGATGGAACAGTGATGAGGCTTTTCCAGAAAAAGTAGAATGTTTTACAGAATACTCCAAAAATGTTCTGCAGAACAGAACAAGGTTTAAACAGAACATGCAGTAGAATTCAACAGGTAAAATAATAAAGAATGTTATCTTATTTAGCAAGGTTTAAATGTTACATTTAAACACATTGAAAACTTTTTTGTGGCAAGTATTTAGAATATTTGTAAGAATGTGAAGAGAAAATACTTCCATTGTATTTAGCTTTTTTTTTACTATACATGAAAAAACATGCAGATTTCTATGGTTTTTGGACTTTCTTTGGAGATTTGGTTATGGAAAGTGTCATGAGGGGGCACCACTGCTAGCAAATGTTTATATTTAGGTGCATATGTTTAAACATGCTGTAATAACACAGGTTTAGCTATATATAATACATCTGTGTGTTGTGTTGTGTGCCTTCAAGTCATTTCCGAATTACGGCGACCCTAAGGTGAACCTGCCATGGGGTTTTACTGGCAAGATTTGGTCAGAGGAGGTTTGCCATTGCCTTCCCCTGAGGCTGAGAGCATGTGACTTGCCCAAGGTCACCCAGTTGATTTCATGGCCAAGTTGGGAATTGAACCCTGCTCTCCAGAGTCATAGTACAATACTCAAACCACTACACCTCTTGGAATTTATTGATCCCATAAAATCAGAAAGATGTCCTGTGATATAAAAAGATCAACACTTTCTCTTTTCCAGATAACAGAGGTGGGACTATTCATCCTTTTGTTCATTGTGAAATTCAAATTCTCGCTGGCTTTTAGCACTTTGGTGGAAGCTGTATCCGTAATGAAAAGACTGGCATATTTAAAAACAGATAAAAAAAACTTCTAAATGCATTTATTGGGAAGAGGTTAGGGAGATGATTGTGGGTGTAAGTGACATTTTTCTCATGAAATACTTGCAAAGTAGTGAGCATTCAACTGTTCTTATTTCTTCAGACTTGAGAGAAATAAAAAAGGCATGCTATAAAATAGAGGGGTTTTGTGTAATAATTGGATCACTATTTGAAGGAGTGAAGTAGGGGGAGGGAACTCTCCATGAATGTTTTAGTTACTTATGTTATATTTCTTTTGCCAGAAACACAGCTGCTGTATCCAACAGGCATTTAAATGGTTTGGATTTTACACTAATAAGGTCACTCTTTTGGCATTAGCTAGTTTTTTCTCCCTCCAGAATTCTTAACTTGGAATTAGTGGTGGAACAGAAAAAATTCTGCATTAAAAGTAATATGCAGTACTTAGTGAGAAACAAAAATCCCTTCCACTCAAAATGTTAAACATAAATTTTAATAAGCCACTAACAGTTGTATAACTGTTATTTATTCAGTTTTCAAGCACATTCAGTCAAGAGAGCAACTGTCACTCACTGGTGAAGCAGATACTTACCAATTAGACTTTGATGTTGTTGGTATTGGATTAAATGGTATTCCTGTTTTATTCTTGTTTTATTCTTACCACAGGGCATTGGCTGAGAGGGCAAAGGTCAGGCTTTGGAATGAGGAATCTGAGGGCTGGAAGCAACAAAGGTGCACCCTTAGTAATATATGTGATTGAGAAGTAAATAGTAGTATATCTGATTCAGAAGTAAATGAAGTGTTCAAAAGGTTTCACACATATTATCCTATTCTACCCTTACACTGACTGTAGAAGAGAAATACTATTCCTGTTGGGGTTGGGGGAGCTGAGGCTAAGAGTGACTTGCTGCCCGTCTACTATGCCCCTTAGTCTCAAAGGTGCTACTGGATTGCTTTATGGCAGGGGTAGGCAACCTTTTTGAGCTGGGGGCCGGGTTGCTGTCCCGCAGACCATTGGGGGGCCGAAGCACCATAAATAAATAAATAAATAAATAAATAAAAATTTTTTAAAAAATATGCATGCACACTCTCTCAGCCCCAGAAAAGCCATGACAAAACCCCTGTGGAGATTTTGCCAAAAAAACCCCAAGAACAAGTATTAACAATAATCAATATCATCATGGCGGGTGGCGGCGGAGGCGGCAGGACTGGCCTGGGGCTGGTTCAGAGGTCTCGGGGGGCCACATCCGGGCCTTGGGTTGCCTACCCCTGCTTTACAGCTTATATGGGGGGGCCACAAAATAAATGTTAAGTGCTCATGGTAAGTGCTAGTGTGGTGTAGTGGTTTGAACATTTGACTATGACTTTAGAGACTGAGGTTTGAATCCCCGCTCAGCCGTGGGAACTCACTGCATCACTTAGCCAGGTCACACTCTTTCAACATTAGAGGAAGGCAAAGGCAAGCCCTACAAACAAATCTTGCCAAGAAAACCTTGTGATAGGTTTGCCTTAGGGTCACTGTAAGTCAGAAACAACTTGGAAGGCACACAACAAGAAGCTAGTGGTGTATTCTGTAGTTGTTTTGTTTGTTTTCTTCAAGGGTTTGCTCTCTAGTGGTATATCACTAACTTTGTACAGTATCTGTCTTAGCTTACATTCCTATACACAGTTACCAGAAGTTTCATTGAACTTTATGGTCTAAATCCAATTTAGTCCAAACTAGAATAGACCAAATGATCAGTGGAACTTATACAAGTAGTGATTTACCAAGTTCCCATTGATTAAACTAGTCTACTTTAGCTGAGTCTATCAAGTAAATTTAGGCCTGAGTAAACATGCATGGTACTCCAACACTGCCTTAAATATTCTTAACCAGAAACATTGTTATTGCTTTTAAAAATTTTATGGTAGGCTATGAGACTTTCAGCTAAACCATTAGGTTGGCATCTTGGGTTTCTGATTTGTTGACATAACTTAAATTGGGCTTATTTGTGGCTTCTATGAAGACCTAGATTTGTGTAAGTAATAATATGTATGGTTAAAAACAAAAGTACTGGTTTCATTTTGAATTTAATGTTACAGTTCCATAATATTTCTAGAAGTTGAGGATACTTTTCTGAACAAATAGTGTAAATTTGTAGCAACCAAAGGTTGTTGGATTTGTATGTATTGTCCTTGAATAATTAAATAACAGCTGCAGTCCAGTACAACAGAGAGACCTTCTTCCAAAAATTGTTGCGTGATGGCATGTTCTAGATAACAGTCATCCTTTGGCTGCTAAAACTTTTATTGGAATCTCAAACACAAACACAACAAGAGCAACTCCCATTTTAGTCAAAAAAACTTATTTCTAGGCAAATGTGGTTAAAATTGTGATGTCACCAATTACATGGGAATAAGCTCCTATGAAAGCAGTGAAAGTTTTGAGTAGGAATATCCAGGATTTCACTATAAATCTGCTGTAAGGTATTCTCGTCTATTGTTTAGATGCACACTTAAACAACAATACACTGGCCAACAACCTTCAACCTCATACCCATTCTTGGACCTAGGGAAGGGATTGTTGTGAAGTTGTTAGGGTTGTCCCTTCCCCAAGATTGAGCTGATGATTGACGGTTTATCATACACACCTCAGGATGATTGTGCTGTCTCTAGGCCAAGCCTGAAAATCCTCTTCCCATTTAAAATATTACTAAAGTGCTTTCAGTTCATATCAGAGAAAATACTCCCTCTTCTGACAATTCACAAAACCATAAGACTTGGTTGCGTTCCTACTTATTCCACAAGTACTTCCTTCACCATTGCTGCTTTCCTATTAAATTCATAAGGCTGGAGAAAAGTCTTGTCAGTGTCACTAATTATGTTTTCAAACATTAAAATATTAGAATTTTATATATGCTGATATAATTGGATTTAAGGTTAGTCATGACTGACATAAGTTCTAATACTTTTGGTAGGTTTACTACTCTATTATTTATTTGTTGTTATTTACATACATGTCCTACCTTTCTGCTAATGAGCATACTTAGCTCTCTTTCTTTCCACTTTTTTCTCTCAACAAATCTGTGTAATAGGTTAGACTGTAAGAGAATGAGTTTTGGATTAGGCAGTGAGTTTCATGGCTCATTAGGAACTAGAACCTCAATCTCCTGAGTCCCACTCTGATACTTTAACCAGTACACTGCCACTAACTCTAATAAGACAGTGTCTGAATCCAAGCCTTAATGTTATGCAATGTACACTGGTTATCGTTTGAAGATTACCCTCAGATCCTTCATATATTGAGCTCCTCCACCAATCTAGTTCCAAAGGAGTAGCTTTGCTATATACTTCATCAAAAACTGAAAGTATTGTAAAGTTAAACTGCAGTAGTGGTACATTTACTTCCCCTGACCACACAGAGATCTCACTATCTACAAAAATGAACGGTTGATTTTTCATCTTTTGGATGGTATTTAACACAATTTTTGACATTTATTTTAATAAATTCACTCTCTTTAACTCGGTGAAATTCAACAATAGAAAAGTATTCATGAGAAGTTATTATTCCTTCCACTGTAACAGTGAATAAAGTTATGCAAATTACACGCAGTAGGATGTAAAACAATAAGTACATTGTACCATGTAAAGCCAAATCCAGACAGAGCTTCTGAGTCTACAGACAGAAATGCCAAGGCTGTGAAAATGGGACATATATGAAAATACAAGGATAGCTTACAGAATTTCTAAAATGCATGTTTGTTCAATGTCTGCAGAATTTGCAGTTGCTTACTCAAATTGCTGATGACAGCTAATTAAATTTAAGACCTATTTTTCTCACTTACCTTTCAAATCTACGGTAAATAAAAGAAATCACTGTATAGTTTTAGAGGTTAAAATGACAAATTTGGGGGAATTTAAGAAATAATCTATTATCTGAAGGGTGCAAAATGATTTCTACTTTCTCTTTTATTTAAATCTCAACCAAGCAATAATATTGGTATAGTTTAAATACAAGAAACTGCACTTTCAATAAGATGTATAGTTGCATAACAGGTATATTTCAGTTAATGGTGTAATATTTCAAATTGTTACAGCTACAAATAATTAAAATCAGAGTAGGAGAGTTGCTCAGCAGAAAAGTCATACAGGAATCATGGTAGTCAACAGAACTTTAGCCATTGTATATATAGTAACTTCAGTAATGAGTAGTTTATCAATTCAAGTGAAAAACAAGAATTAAAAAAAATTACATCAGAAGGCAGTGTAAAACCTGCAGATCACAATAGCATTGTTTCCTATTATTAGATGAAATCATAGTAGAATACATGATAAATATAGCACAGGAAATGTTAAGAAAACGTTTTATAACTGAATGGTGCAGTTATAAAGGAAAATACATTCAGAACATGTTCTGAATTCACAAAGGGAAATGCATGACAGTATAATATTTATTTTTATGTTTGATGCCTGTTGGAGGCAAAACAGGAAGAATGGCAGCCTTCCTTTCCTGGAGGAGCTGAGTAGTGGACAGAGAAAGCTGATACTATTTCTTGTCCAAAATAATAAGTTTTGTTGATTCCTATCCTATCTAAACTTGTCCATAACCAGTTAGTAGATCAAAATGGCGCCCCGCAGGCCGTAGGTTGCTGACCCCTGATCTAGAAACTGTACTTCTATTGATGCAGCCTAAAATCGCATGGGCCTTTTTAGCTGCGGCATCATACTATTGACTCATGTTCAATGTGTGGTCTACTGTATTATTGCTTTATATCTAGCAATAATACAGCCCAGTCTGTCAGGATTTTTTTAAACGTGCCTGATAAAGACTTTGGGTTCTTTCTATTCATATTAATTCATCCTAATAAGAGCTCCCAGCTGAAGGATACATTTTGTTATTTCAGCTGTCCATTGTATACAAAGCATGGAATATGTCCTTCAAAAAACACTGACTCTTACAAAAATACTTTGACTTCATTCAGTTAAATGTGAACCAGATGTGCTTTGAGCTAACGGTCTTATGTGCAATAGTACACTTGGACTGCTATTAAGGGAGTCCTATTTAACTATTTAACACTGCTATTTAACAGAGGAGGCAAACCCCATTAAAATGGACATGATTTGCATTTTTAAATCTTACAGTTACATGCAGAACTAAATTAAGAGGCAAGTTCTACTAGCTGTGATCACTCTGTTTATTTCTATTTGTTAAAGGATCAGTTCTCATTAATGCTATTTAAAATCCTACCAGTTCTAAAAACAGAACTGTTGCTGCTGTTGTTGTTGTTTTACTGGCAATTAGTTTCCTGAATTTTATATGTGTTGCTGTCTTATGGTTGAAGCCATAAGTTGGCTACAAATGGACTGGACTATTATCAAAGTGACTGAGGGTGCAACCACACTGCAGAATTAAAGCAGTTTTACACCACTTTAACTGTCACAACTCTATCTTACAGAATCCTAGGAGTTGTAGTCTGGTCTGTCAGAGAACTCTGGTGCCTCACCAAACTACAAATTCCAGGATTCTGTAGGATAGAGTCGTGGCAGTTAAAGTGGTGTCAAAGTGCTATAATTCTGCGGTGTCTAAGTCAGATGCAGACTATCATGCTCACCTGCTTCACACAAGAAAAAGCAAACAAAGCACTACTTCACAGCTGTCACTAACTGGAACCCAACTACATAACATGGAACAGCTTCTGGAAGGACTGGCCAGTGGGGGGATGGGAGAAGAGACAACCTTAGTTCTGTCCCACCCAAAGTTTGGAAAAATAACTTATTGGCGGCCATACTGGCTGGGGGATTATGGAAGTTGTAGTCAAAAAGGTAACTCTCTCTTGCCCTCATCCCTCAAAATTTAAATTATCCTTCCTTTGCTGCAGCTGTGATAACGTGATTGTGTGATCAAGAGTCCTGGGTGAAAGTTCTGGAATCACAGTTTTGAGTCAAAGGATTTTACCCAAACCAGAGCTTAAAACATTAATTTTGAAAATTAATTTGATAAAGTTAAAAATTAGAAACATTAGAAAAATAATTCACAACCATAATTACTAATAACTGGTATCATTTAACTTGGCAATTTATAATTAGTTTTTGTTGATCAAGCCAGGCCATGGGATGTACAGAGAAGTTGTCAGGAGTACATTTTGTTACTGTCTCCTTCAAAAGGGTTCTTTTAGTTACAGTATTTTAAAGTTGCATTCCTCCAACATGACATTTCTCCCCATTTGGACTACAAAACAGAACTAGTAAGAGTCCAGCACATTTGGGAGCTGTCTGTTTGGGGAAAGCTATCCTAAGAGCATTCCTTGATTAACCAGGAAATACCATTTGCAGATCTCACCGAGACAGAGTAAGGCAGGCACCATCTTCTCTGCTTCCAGAAGCTTTCTCCTTCCCATGAGCCTGCTAAGTGTTCACAG